CAAAATTGGATAATCAATGATTATCAGTTAATATAATAATAAAAAAAGGTTTTACTAATATAAATTTAAATTTTTTTAATGCATATTTCTATAGTATATTTAGTGATTATTTGGGATATAAATTCACGCATATTTTAAGGTTTTTTAGGACACAAAGTCCCTAGCCCTATAATTTCTTTTTTTTTTTACATATGAATTCTCAGTGAAAGATGAATGCATTAGTTTGATCATGATTTACCATGATGCGTGTTTTTCTTTTCCTTTTGTGCCCTTGTATATGATTTTGAACGAAAGGATTTATCCGATCACAAGGATCGTAGGATATATAAATCCGATAGGAATTTTTAGCCTAGTCGTTACTTTGAAAAGGGGTCATTTTACGAATTTCCTAATAGTTTTCTTAATTATTGTGAACAATTGACGAAAAGTTATGAAAATGCGGTTACATTTACAGCATTTATCGGTTTCGACAAAATTTAATTTTTGTTTCCATCGTCACTCAAAAATATGTAATCGAATAGACATTAAATTTTCATTAAATACTTACATCACCGTTTATCTATTATGGCAGTATTATAAATTCTAATATTTATAATCAATACTATAGATGGAATAATTTTCAATAATTTTTCGGGTATTCATAGAAAATTGAAATATTCATGTTTTCTTAGCATTTTTCCAGTAATTTCGAAATCGTAATAAATCGATAAAATAATTTTGTTAAGACAAAAAGTTTAAAAATTTAATTTAGATTACTTCATTTATATCTTTAGTTAAAAAAATATAGATTGAAGGAGACCATTACAAGCAGTCAACTTTGTATGAACTATTTACTTCTGTGTTAAATGAAAAAAAAAAAAATCAAGAATACCATGAACCAATAATGCAACATTATACTTCATATGGAACATTGACTGCTAGAGTTATTATTAAGTAATTTGATCGGTTATCAAGGATAAGAATCTAACTCTTCTTCAATATTTTTTTAATATTTAGTTAAATATATACATGAAAAAAAAAAGAATGCAGTTATGAATTTGTTCAGTTTTTTATAAATTATTTAAAAAATAAAACAATTAAAATAATAAATTGAAATTTGATGTAGTTCTTAATAAATAATGTAATAAAAACTAGGAATTTTTAAACTTTAAAAAAAGATTGTTAAAACAACAATTACGGCAATGTTATAATCTATGTAACATTTACAATATTGTATAACTTACTATTGTTTAAACAATTGTTTATTTATTTTTTATTTTTTATCATAACACTTGACATGATGAATAAATATTGTTATAAATTATTATAATAAATGTATAAAAACACTTTTGAAATCAATTAACTTATGACGATAAAATTGATTAGAAATACTTTTAACAACACGTCTAGTCTAAAATGTATTAGATCAATAATATATATATATGCTTCTTCAAAAACTATTTACACAAACACAATATTATTATAATAAAACAGAAAAGTATAAAATTATTTCAAAAAGTATAAAAAAAAAAAAATGAAATAAAACAATAACAATATTGAAATGTAGTACTAATTGGGTTAAATCAAAAGCAAAAAATAAAATGTATAATATAAATTAATTGATTTTAAATGTAGAAAAACATCACTTCCTCTTTAGTCAAACTGGAAAATAATTATCTGACAATTATAATTTAATAACTTCTAATTATAATCTATTAACTATGTATAAAAGTATTTGACAACCATCCAATCTAATATATGAGGATACAATCATATTTACAATTTACAGGATAGAAAACTTCAAAGTTAAAAAAATGTTTTTAAAATAAAACATGTAAAAAAAAATCATACAAGAAAATAAGATGAAAAAATATTCATAAGCCAATAAAAATCAACTCGTAGTCATACGCACAATTTTAGATACGACACAATGTATATCACAGAAAGTAGAATAAAATGCAAGAATTAGTAACATTTATTTTATTAATGATAAACTTAACTGAAAAAATATTATATCAGTTCAATTATTTTTGGCGTGTATTGTTTAATACTCGGTCCCTGCTATGCTCCCTGGCCGGAGGCGAATGTCGAGATTTTCTACTGCGTTTAATTTTTGCCATACTATCTTCACCGAAAACATCTCCTGTTCTTAACGCTGAGATGAGATCATCAAATTCTGTTTTATCACCCGTGTGATCATTAATTGATACTTGATTAGTGGTTCGACGTCCAGCAGATCCATTTGACAAAACACTTGCTCCGTCCTTACAGTTTTTCCGTTCAAGGGTTAATTTTTTTAACTAACAAAAAAAAAGAGTAATTACTAACATTTAACTAACCATTAGTAAATATAAATTATATAACACATACATCACTCTCATGCTTTATTCGCTTCTCTTCCTCTCCTCGTCTCCTTTTAACATTCATGTTATCTTGACGAGCTTCAAAAAGAGCTGTCAATAGTGAATCGAAAATAGCAAAGAAATCATCTGGTTGTATAGTAGAGTTGTCTTCTCCAAATAGTCTGACCGCCCTATCAAACTATAAGAAAATAATTTGTTAATTTAATTAGTTTTTAAATATCAGAATGCTGATGATTTAGTAAAATACATACTCTAGTTTTCATATCTTGGAACAAGTCTTCTAATTCGGAAAATTTACATGTTGCAGTAGTTAAAAACTCTTTCATTACTGGTAGGAACATATCACCCGGCACAACAGGTTGAACTCTCTGGAACTCAACTTCTCGTTCTACTTCTTTCAAATTATTTCTTAGCTGTAACATGTCTTTTTCGAGTTCAGCTAAGCTCACTTTAGAGGCACCTCTTACACGAGGTAAATCTTCTTCCAGTAACAAGATATCCTTGAACTATTTAATTAATTAATAATAATTAAATAATTAAAAAAAAAACACCTAACCAATCAAATATTACAAAAATATTTTTTATAATATATTACATACCTCCTTCTTCTCATCAGCCATATCAACAATGTAGTGTAATAATGTTGTACCTCGTACAGTACTTGATTTGGTGTCCTTAAGTCTATTTAGAGATGATAAACGGAAACCCCAAGCGTTCCCTCTTGCTCCTTTATTCATATAGTTTCCAAGAGCTAACACTAATTCTAGCAATTTTCTTAGGCGTCTGGAACGAGCTACTTCTCGTGATGCTTCCATCACAATTTTCGCTCTGCCTTCCACTTCACTTGTCCATGTAGCAAATTTCTTTTTGTATACTAGACTATTAAGACGTTGCTCGTAATGAGCAATTCTACAAAGCAAAAAAAAAAAAAAACCATAAATAAAATATTCGAGTAATTATATTTTTTTATAAAATACGAACTTGGAAATTTCATATAAAAATCGGTCAGCTCTGGCAAGACAACCCAAATCATCACTATGTTCTTCCAATAAGGCTGCTTCGTCTGGGCCTGGAGTGAATTTTAAAAGTTGTTCTACCATGTCCAATGGTAACACATCTTTAGTATCCATGTCCAAAATTACTCTGGCTATTTCCTCATCAGACATTTTCAATTTCGATAACAATATGGTACAGTTTTGAGCTCTGCGGCCATCAATTACTGACAACACTTTGGATTTGTTTTTTCCAGTTTGTCTTAAGTCCTCTAAGGACCCATCATTCTGAAGAAAAATTTACATTAGCCAAACAGTTTAACACAAGTTTTTTTTTGTTTCATTAAAAATTATACTTACCACTGTAGTACTGCCGTTGGGTTTTTGATTTTGGTATGCGCAGAATAGTTTGTCAACAGTCTCAAAGTCAATGATTGAATACATTTTGCCTTCGTCAATATCGGCCCATACGGTTCCAGCTACTTTGGTTTCTGGTAATTTGGCCCAGTTTAAGGACTTCAGAGGAGCAGAAGGTTTAGGAATTTCAACAGACCTCTGCTTGCTGGACAATTGAGGAGGACAGCCAGGAGGAGGTGGAAAATTTGGTTGGGGCAACTGTAGTGGAGGCGCTGGTGGAGGTGCGGGCCCACGGGTCTTAGCCATAGGTGGAGGCGGAGGTGGAATAGGCATTGAAGCAGTGAAATTAACTTTAGCATCGTCTGGTAAGCTTCCATTACTAAGCATTGCCTCTAACTTTCTCCTTTCTGTTTGCTCGTACAACACTCGGTGCTGCAATTCACTAGTAGTGTCTTCGAGTTCTGATACCTTTTGCTTAGTTTCCAAATGAATGGATATTTCCTTTTCCAAACGTTCTTTAACCCTTGAAATACTGGCTTCCATGTCTTCCTAAAGTAAATATAAACGTGTAATTAATAATGTAATTGAAATATTTGTTAAATATAGAATTTGATTACTTTTTCTTGGTTTCTTAAGTCTAGTTCTTGTTCTTTTTTAGCAAGTGAAACAGCAATACTACTGTTTTCTTTTTCAAGTTCTTCGGCTTTTTTTTTTGCAGCAACAAGTTCCTCTTCTTTGGCCAGTCTTTAAGATATTAAAATAACATAGAAATAAGTGTCTGTTATAATTCTAAAAAATGATTGGAAAATTATTATCTATTGACTTACAGATGAACTATTTCTTTGACATTTATATTAATTGGTGTCACGTCATTATCAGTACCAGCATCGGTTTGAAGAGTTATTTGCTGTACTATTCGGTCAAACAGAAGCCAGTGCTGTGGAAGACTTCCATACTCAACTGCAACACATTAAAATAACAATTATCATACAATATCAATACAATATAACTGTATTCTACCAATCCATCATATTCCGTTGATTTACTTACGAGGTAACAGCAAAAAGTGCTGAAAGAGTGAAAGGAAGTGAGGATATGCCGGAGAATGGCTCAATTTTCTGCGTAACAAATCGAACATAGAAGTAGCGCTTTGGGTATCTACTTGCTCCTAAAGTTAGATAAATGTTGAGGATAAATAATAATACTTGTAATTTTACAATGTTGACGAACGGATATGTTACCTGTTCGAATTTTCTCGCCAGTTCTTTTTCGTCTTCTTTGCGAACCATGTCGAAAAAATCAATATGTCGGTCCAACGTTTGATTCTCGTGTTCTCTTAACTTGATAGTAATATTCTTGAGACCAAGCTGCAAGAATTCATATCTTAAATGCAATCTAAACTCCAAGCTTTCTTGGCCGGGTCCATAACTTAGGACAGCGTTTACAAAAGACATGATTGCTGTCTTAACAGACAAATCGTCTCTGTATTTGCCAGTGTTTCTATCCAAATCATTAATTATGCCTTGGAATCTGGCACGTTCATGAGCAAACTCCTTGTACTCGGTCATGGCATTGAGGACCTTCTTGTGACCGCCAGCGACCAAACAGGAAGCACCAAGGATTTCCAACACGGCGACTTTAGTACGAGGGTTTTCAGTGAGTAGACTACGCGCAATCGTGTTAATGGCCGAAGGATGAGCCAGCACGTGAGATCTTCCAGTCTAGAGCGATACAAATCAATAATAATATTATTATAAGAAAAAGTGGTGCAAATAATAATTAGCTAAATAAACATGCGACGAATAATAATCTTAAAACACTAAACCACTAATTTTACCCGAATGTAAGAAATTTCCTTTTCTTTCGAACTTAGGTTTAATATCAAGAAAAACGATTAAGTACGAAGGGTTAGTATAAATTCTAAATTATTGTGTTTTCCTCTTATTATATAAATACTTCTATTAAAATATAAGTCACGATTCAATGGTCAAAAGATGAATATATTTATAAATATATAAGATTATTTAAATTATTAAAACATAAATATTTATGCAAGCCAACAGTTTTAAAAATAATAAACAAAAAATATTATACGTCGTTCACTATTACGTTTTAATTATACCGACAATAACAATTAGTCGCGAAACTATTAAAAAGTAAATGCTGCTGTGCGAGTAATTTACGAACGAGCACTAAGCAAATATTTAAGTAACAAACTTACAGAGTTGTTCATAAGGGCTTTAATACATCCAATTATTGATGTGTGTATAGCTCCTTGTTGAGTGTCGTAATCCATCGAAGATAATACTTCCAATAGAGTGACAAGTCCGTTAGCTTGGACAAATCTCAAGACGAAACTATGAGGCTGAGTTCGAAGAGCAGTCTTTAAGGAATCAAACAATTTGGTGTTCTCTCGTTGATCTCCGTTCGCAATTCTTATATGATCGATATAAGTTTCTGGAGATTGCGACAAATCGGTCGTGTTTTCTTGATCCTAAAATAAATTTAAAAAAAACTACTGTCAGTACGAAATGTTTTCGATAACATATTTTCTTTAGCAAGTATATTAATTTACATCTAATACCTTTTTTTTACTGCAGTAAATTTGCCATTTCTTTTCTTCGGGAAGTTCCAACATGGCTGCTTTATTTGTAGCCGTCAAATCAAGTTCTTCCTATAATGACGAATCATCGATAAAATATAGATTATACATGGTATCAAGATGTATAAAGTTAAGTAAATTGATATAAGTTAGAAAACAAATTACGACACGGAAAATAAATGATTCTACTACACGTAATATTCACGAACACACGTAAGTCCTGGGTTTCACCGTTTCTAATTCCAGGTCAAGAGTTAGGTTATGACCCATGTGGGTCCCTCAGGTTAAGAAATCGTTTAAAAAAAATAATGTCTATAAATTTTAAACTGTAACGGTTTGAATGAAAATTACACCATTACATTAATGAACAACGATGATTACAATTTAATGACAGAATGTGCGTATGTATAATATATACACAAACGTATGCCTTTTTAATTTTGTTTTGTATTATAACAGAGATCCTAACGCATTTAATTTGATTGCACGGTTCGCGACGGGTAATACTGAAATAATAACTGCCTTTCTTCAGGATTTCTTTTTTTCTTTTCCCTACCTACCCATCTTGACATACGTTTAAGTGGTATTGGTCGGTCAACGCATTGGTACGACAATCAAGTGGCTTTAAATTCATGTTCTCATTCCTTTCGATCTCCTTTGAAAAATCAATCGGTGCAAGGATAGTCACACGGTAAATGCCCAATCAGGGATAGAAATAATGTTTTCTCGGCTTTTACGCAGTAGCGCGACAATTATGAAACTATTCGAAAAAGTGGGCGATGGTAAATTAATTTTTTTCTTCAACGCGTTTTGGATTATTTATTGTATTTTTTTATGTGTATTCATTGTCGTATTCACAGCGTTTGCGGAGTTAAAAAAAAAAAAAATTAATACAATCGAGAGAGATAACGTTGTATTCGTATTTATACACAATAACATTGAGATTATATAACACGAGGATAGTTATTAAACAATCGGGTTAGACTGGTGCGGCGGGCAGGCGAAAGCAGTGGTCAATTATTTATAGGTCCTAAAAAACTGTGGTTCCGAGAGGACTTTTGGTAGGCCGATGTTTCCCTTGAGAATCAGACAGACATACAATGCGAGTCGAATGCGATCGCACGCAGTCGACGATGTGTGTGTGCGTGTGAATGTTACGTAAGTGGAAAACGATCATTGCGTAATCGTCACGACGCTGTCCTGGAGACGATTTTCCACGCACGTCCTGGCAATAATAATAACGTCGAATAATCGACGACGGTGACCACGGCCGACCTCACAATGCACTTACCACTAGCTCGGCGAACAGACGGTCTAGTTCTAGTTTCTCGGGCATGGGCAGAGTAGGTGTCATCGTCTGCAACGTCAGGGTGCCCGAATTATCGACCACACAGTAGGTGATCTCCGGCGGCTCGTCGTCCTGCAAATAATACCGATATATGACACATTGGAACACACACATTGTACAGTCGGTTTCCAGAGCAAAGCAACATTTAATAATAAACCCTATATAATACGGCTAATAATTGAACAATACCATTTACCTACTTACACGGTTTACGAGAACTAGCGTAAAAAAAAATCAATCGCAATCATTCTCGCGACGGCCGAAAGGTAAAAACCTACACCAATAAACACATATTTGTGTACACTACGATTTATACATATTTATCACATTATTTACGTGGAATATATAGGCCGCTATATGCGAATCATTTTGTACCGTAAACGAGTATGGTTATATATCAATGGTGGGCATTAACTTGTTAAAAAGTTAAAGTTAAGTTAAAAATTTAATTTTTAAACTTTTTAACTTAACTAGTTAATTATTTTTGTTTTTAACTTATTAACTTATTCAGTTAATTTTTTTATTGTTTTAACTTAGCTTTTTATAGTTAATTATCATTATTGTACAGTTAAGTTAATTCTAATTTTTTTTTATCACGTGGAACCATCAGGCTAAACTTATTCTTTCGATTTTGGTAATTTATTTTTCTAATATAATAACATAATATCCTCAATTCATAATAATCAAATTATATTTTAATCTATAGATACTATAGTAAATAGTAATAATTGATATTTTATCTATTGTATAGACTTGCTATTTTCACGAGTTCTATTTAATGATCTATTCGGTATTGAATAATACGATTTTAGTTTAGTCTAACTCTATAGTGTAGTTCTAAAAACAGGTTTAAAAATAAATAGCATAGCCTTTTAAAAGTGTAAAGTTAAAATTGGATATTAATAACACAGGTACCTGCTGGTTAGGTTAGGTCGTCCGAGATATTTATAAATTATAATTTATATTTCAGTATTCTGCGTATTCGTTATAAATACAAGCATAACATATGATATTAGAAAAATTAATTTTTTTTTAACTGAGTTAAGTTAATTTTATTTTCTATCTTAACTTTTAACTTATCGAGTTACTTTTTTTTTGTTAACTTTTAACTTTAACTGAAGGCAATTTAATTGAATTAACTTAACTAACCACAGTTAATTATTTTCATTAACTTGCCCACCTTTGTTATATATATATATACACACGTTAGAATTACATAAGATACGCTCAGTTATGCTGAAAAAAATATAATTGGAAAAATGGTTAAATGAGAACGACGTGGGCTTAGTATTGACATTTTACATCGAACGTCTTATAGGCTCATTCGACACATGTAACTGGTGAATTTGTAAATGTATAAGAAAGAATAAGGTTGGAAAGTCAACTTCACTATCTAACAATCTTTTTTAAAAGTTATTACTCAAATTTCACGTGAACCCCGCCACACAAAGTGGTAAGCATTACCATTATCTAACATGACGATTTCAACTGTCATCAAGCTCAGGTGTTGGCTGAACTAAAATATGCAGTGTAAAACTTTGATGGTGGAATTAAGCTAGAAATTCTTTGATAGCTTATTTTTATAATATTTTATTCAAACCAATTCAAACGGAACTTATTTCATTTTAATTTAGAAATCGACAATAATATTTTAATTATTATGCTCTATCAAAATTGTAATCATATTGGTTGTGCAACCCGAATATGAACTTAAAATTCATGAAACTAAACATATTACGTGACCTGAAAACGGAAAGATTCTATGACGTTTTACATCCTTTAAGGTTATGAAAAGTTATGTGTATAGCGTTTTAAAATTTGGAAAATAAATTTAAAAATATTCTTTATCCAATCATAGAGTATTTACTTTTGTAACTAGGATCTATAGATATTTATCTAATGAAAAGATATTAGATATGCATACAAACATGTTGTAATGAGTAATGAAGTCGAAAGGTTGGAAACTCGCAACACTCAAACCGGATGGTGATCATTTAAATGAGAGGTATTTTGCGAGATAAAATCATAATATGCAGAACTTTTTCTAGTCTACGTAGAGATTTGATTTTAATGTTATATTAAACTTGTATTAGCATGCTAACATATTTTAAATTTAATAAAATAAAAAAATAGATTTCAATATAATTTTTATGGAGAAATGATAAAATCTCAGTTAACTAAAAAATAGCGCGCATTTATTCACGGTAAAAACAGATATATAAGTTTAGAAGAATAAAATATTTGAACAGAATGAAATAACATTTCAAGTGCATCAAGTTATCATCACTATATGTAGTACCATACATGAACGTACTAAGGTTCTATACATCACTCTACGTCCTAAGCATCGACAATATGTATCTTTAGAGGTTATCAAATAAATAATATCCTTTGATAATTGACTGCGCCATATATGGGTGCACTTGTGTAGAACTCATCGGATTTAATTAAATCACCGCACGTGATGTATTACACATCGGGCGTCAAAAAATTAAGAATCAAAACGTCGACGAAGAGTAGTGTATTCTTTCTACTTTCTAATTTTTCACGTGTAATAATGCTTTTATACACGTACAATCATACACGACGCTTTTCATCGTCAGTAATGATCTTGAAACACGACGACCACGAGTCGACGGGTTACGTAACACGAACTTGATCGATGTATTTCTCTCGTTGTGCTGCAAAGAGAAATACGGTTTCGATGAAAAACAAATCGTCGACGACCGTACAACTCCTACGCATTGTTATTACTATTGTACGACTGTTTGTAGAAACCGGTCCAAGCGATACAAACACCACTATTGATGCGTGACTGCGCTTGACTACACGCGTGACGCGTTGATGTTCAACACGCGTTTCATCATCCCTTACGTTTCCCGATGTTTTCCGCGCGCACGGGGACAGTTTTTTTTTTTGGTCAGCGAAACGTTTTCCCAACAATAACACGTCAACAACCCTGTGCGTCCGCGCCCGACAACGATGACTCACCCGGTAGGAGAAAGCATACGCATATGAATAACATTAATAACACCGCGGATGTCTGCCCCGTAGATTAATCTACACGATTTGACCACGTGCGTGCGCGGCCCGGAGCGATCAATTACAACAACGAACAAAGACAAGGGAACGCTTGGGCTAGGTCAGCGAGCGTTTACGTCCCGAGAATTCCTTTCCTTCGGCACAATGGGTCCGTCTCCCGGTGCAGCGGTCGGCGATCCGTTCGCGGTTCAACGCGCGACGGGCTCGTTTCGCGGCCAAACGGTAAACCCGTCGTAATGTTCAACAGCTGCGCGGCACCGGGTCATCATCCGCACGCATGGTTAGATTTCGCGACGCCGGCGAAATTCAATCTTCCGGAAACGCAAACGAATTGGCTTGATTGTTGAAATTTCTATGCCTCGGGCAACGAGGCCGCGGGTGGTTAAACAATTAATTACACCACGTCAATAGGATAACGTTAGATTTTGGACAAATATATATTTTTCAATACGGTAAACATTGTAGTCAAGGAAAACCCCACGAAATTATGTATACCACCTACATACTCCTATTAACATGGCCCGAAATGTTTATAGTTAACCGTCTAGTCATCGGTTACATATTTTGGATTGAAAACTATAATGAAATAAATGAAAAAAATAAAATTATACATCGACAGATGAATAGGTGTGAATGTATTATTATGGCAATAGTGCATCTTCATACGGCGAGTTTTCTTTAACTCTCTTTTTTTATACCAAAATTATTAGATTCCGAGCGGAACAGCATCAGCAATGGGCTAATTGGTCCTGTAATGCATTTAATCGTATACATTTGGGGCGAAAAACGTGACCCGCCTGTTTTGTACAATACTATAACTTGCCTAAGTAAAATAGAAATCGAAAACAGATTATTATGCTTCAGAGAGGTCGTTATTTTTCATTCTCAAGAAACGTGAGTGCGGATAACAGTGAAATTTATAGCACACCGCACATCATTTGAGCGTTCTTTATAATTTTTTTTTTTTTTCAAAATCTCCATACATTTTCAGTTAACCGAATTTACAAGCAGTCATTACGATAGTGATGATGAATTTTTATAACTTTCAAATTTAAAACCATAACATATATAATATATTATCGAAGGGAGTGAATTAAAACGAATTCCAAACGTCCAGTATATTACGTCTAACGAACATGATTACCTAACATAAACGATGTAACCTAACCAGTCAGCAGTATGATTACTTATTTTTTCACCCCTATCTCATTTTCGGATAGGTCTAATTGCATAATGTTTGAATCGAATTCGGGTTCAAAACAGGAAATACATTTTAAAATCCGATTGCTTTTGTACTAAATAGAAACAAGCGTAATCCGACTCAAGCCCCTTTTGATTGAACTTCAATATAATTTTAAATTATATTATTGATCACATTTTTTTTAAATCAATTGTTAATGAAATGTCTAAATGAAGAAAAAATATCGGTCTTAAAATTATGCCTGTAGAAACATGAGTTTATATGATTACAAATAAAAATATGAATAAAAGTAAAACTATGGCTCTTATTTTTCCAGCTTAAAATTATTTTCAAGAGGGTCTTCCGTATTTTTACGTTTTATTTTTAACTTTATTGAACGATTCATAAAAATATGGTTTAAGTATAAAGTGTTATTATTAATATTATTTAATAGTACTTATTACTATAACTAAATAACTATATATAACTATCTATAATTATTATTAACGTCATTATATCATATCATATGTGATCGTATATAGATCAATATAAGAAAAATTACAATTTAAAGATAGACCCACCGAATCCTTCCACACGTAAAAACCACAAAGATTATGTTAATATATGTTGTACTAGATATACCTATAAAAAATTCTCACATAAAATAATAAAATTATACATTGATACGATTGGAAATGATTTAAAAAAAAAAAATGAAAATTACGTACGAATTGTAACAGTAACATATCAGATTAGTCGCAAAAAATATGAAGTCTTAAAATAAACACTTTACTACAGTAAACTACAAAAATCTAAATACATAAAAAAAACTGTTCGTTGTTTTGTAACAGCAGAACTATTTCCCAAGTGTTAGTACAGTATAAAAATTTTATAAGTTTATACGCCGGTAAACGTTTAACACCAGTCATTACTATTATTATTTTTATTATTACTGTTATTACATGATAATTTCGACATTTTCCATTTTCGAATCATTTTACACGACGTTAATGTGTGATTCTTAAATCGTGTTTAATTTACCAATACGATACGTTAGAACCAACATCGTTTTCTGTACACCTATTGTTATAATGACTCGGACATTCCCGTGTCGGAAAGATCCGAACGGTAATCGATGGATTGAAATTACGACTGCAGTGAAACTTCGTAACATTATTTTCAAAGTGAAAAATTAAAAAAAAAATAAAAACTCCTATCGAAATGGTCTTGCGCTGCTGCAGCTGTTTCGAGCATAATAATATTATGCGTCGTGTGAGCGTTAAAATTTCACATGTATAACACAATATATTAAAAACCCGAGAGTGTACCGCAGGATTGATGACGGGTGCACGGGCACACGGGCACTAACCGTTCGATTAACAAGAACAATATAATAATTACTGTACAACGAATGTACGCCTTGAGCGAGTATAAAAAGTATATATAAACAGTACGACGTGCATGGAACAACACATGATACGTGATGAACGAATCGAGAAGTCTGCGAAAATCGTCAAGGAATCGTATGACCGACACATGAGAACAGCACAACGAAACTCGTGGGCGAAACGATAACGCGGCCGCCCGTAGGGCAATCGCATATTACGCGAAGTCCTTAACCGTGATGTTAATTATAATAATCGTTTATCCTGCGGTTCGGGTTACGATACCACTATTCGTCCTCCAAGTAAATTACTCGGATATACTTAAAAGACATGTACGTATTGCCCTTGACGACAACCACTGTCGCGGTGTATGGAATCGTAAGACGGATTGTGTAATTATTTATGTACAGTAGTATAATACACAGTGTTTATTTCAGACCTTCTGTCCCGGGAGGGGGGTATCGTAAATATTCAAGGGGGATACCTATGCTATAGGATTAAAAATATAATCTTTAAGTTTATTGATATTAGATAGATACTAACAAATGCATAAGATCATAAAAAAAAAAATTTTGTAAAAGAGCGCTCTGTGGTGGGATACACATTAAGCATTCAGCCAATTTTTTTCAAATTTGCATATTCAATATTTTTTTTTGAATACATAGATATAAAACATAATACTTACATATAATACATAGATATTATTAGGACAGAGGACTTGAAGCATTTGCATATTTGTTTTGCGCAGTCACAAAAATAGCAGAGTACGAAACAAATACGTTTCATGCTTTCACAAAGCTAGTTTTGAAATTTTATTTTGCATATAAATGCATATTTTGAGTCCTTTTTGTTTTTAGGGCATATTTTACACTTTTATACGCTATTTTATACTTTTTAAGACATATTTAACTTAAATTGATTTTTTCCAAAGCGACATTTTTATTTCAAACAATACAATAGTCAAAATTTTTGGATAAAAATGTAATTATTTTTAATTTTTGTCGTATAATATGGTTTTTGACTGTCCGCGGGCACATATTTTTCCTAGAAATGATAACGATCTAACGTCGTTTCTTTAGAGAAAATTAAGTAAAATATATTTTGTTTATTTGGTTATGGTATATAATATATTTAAATTATGTAATTGTTTTGCCTTGTTTTTAATGCTATTTATATTATTAATACTTTTAAATAAAAAGGCTAAAAAAAAATTTAAGTGCATATTATGGGGTTTTTAAGTGCATAGGTGCTTGCATATTTAGAGCTTTTTTAGAGTTACAATTCCTCTGCCCTAGATATTATAAATACATTTGTTTATGTTTCCTTTTACTAAACTATTTGCAACATACTTAAATGAATTTAGGTCTACCCAAACATTGGTTCGTTCAAGACTAGGGAAGTATAAGCAAATTGTCAATATATCTTCTTCAGTGATCGTGTTTAAAAATTCAAATGATTCAAATAAAGCGCTGATTTTAATAATTTTATTAAAACGTGATCGCATTTGTGACATCATTGTATCAACAAATTTGTTTTACTTCTTTCAAATTTTTTATTTTGTTTTAATTTTTAATTATTTGTCTTAATACTCCCGGTCACCCCCTTGAAATAAACACGGATAATACAACAAACACCGTGATTACACTTCCGTCATATTTTAACCACATATTTATTATTATTATGATGATTTATTATGATATTTATTTTTTTTTTACCTGGAGGCAGCCGCACCAGCCTTTTCTTCCACGTGCGCTGGGGGTAGGCATCATTCCTGACAATCTTCCCGCCAAACCCGCCATGGAGCGGGGCACAGCCTGAAACGAGAGAAAAAACGTTAAAAACATATCGTAATAAAAATCAATCCTTTTAATGAAATCTATTTCAATTCCATAATTCAAAAAAAATTTAGTTTTATCGGAACAAAACAGAGTGGATAAGAGCGGTTTAAATATTTTAATATTGATCACGATAATTACACGGGATTAGTAATAAATTATTAAACCATACTAATAAAAATAGTTGGTATATAGTAATCTAACCGCACTGTATATGTCTATTTTAAACTCGACGACGGCCACATTTGTGTGACGCATTATCTACTATTATAGGATTAAAACAATAAATAAATAAACATAACACAAATAATACAAATAGCATTATTTATAATAATTCTTCAACGCATACGGAATATCATTACGTGTATCACAGACAAACCGTAAGTACCTCTACGTATGATGATAATCTCAGCCAATAAATTGATCCACCTGCGTAATCGTTCCACATTATTATAATATAATCGTTTTATCATCAATATGTACAATCTCAACCGTACAACTATTCATATTTGACGTTGCGCACGTCATAACTACGTTTATTACAGTACGCTTTTTGCACATGCTCTTGACGGATGGAAACAGTATAATACAATATGTATAATATCTAGGAAAGAATTTAAATGTTACCCATGCGACATGATTTACAAGCGCAGTGCATACATTTATGACGTTATTGTGCGCACTGTTTACTTTATTGACTTCTCACATTTGATGATAAAGTAGTAAAACGAAAAATGATTATACTTATAGAGAGACTTTGAAAAAAAGTCACGCCTTTTTTTAATTTGGGTGGTTAAAAATTAATTATGTTACGATATTAATCTAAATAAAAACATAATCATTAAACATATCACATCGTATATACAGGTACTCCGTATTATAGGTATATTTTTTTTTATGTAACATAATAATACAACTATAAGTTTTAAAAAATATTCATCAAAAAAATGAGGAGTAATATGTTTTAAACGTAAAAACAAATAATACCTCAATTTCAAAAATTACTTAACTCATTGCATGCAATAATGATGGAAATATTTGTATTTTTTACTTCATTAAAATCGAATTTCGTTATTTTTTCTTTTACTTAAAATATTACATAAACATTATTTGATGATATTAAAAATAAAATTTCGCTGAAAAGTAAGTTTACTTTATCACATAAATTCGAGTTATCCAAGTCATATTAGATAATGTGGAGATATATGTCGTAAACATTTTACGACCTAGGACTGAAAGTATATAGCTAACTACAATATGACATATTGAGTGCATTACGAAAATTATAACACGTTGTTTTAAAATGTAAATTATATATCGTATTAAGGCGGTGACCAAAGAGTACAGTTTAAAGTTTTTTATCCAATTTCGTTCATAGTTATTACAATATGTTTTGGTTATAATATATAACATTTTTATAGGACCATGAAAAAATCGAACTACGAGTACAATTTCGTTATAAAATGATAAACATTATAAAAACTAACAGGTTCCTAACTATTTTATTTATATATATATATATATATATATATATATATATATATATATATATATCATAATAATCTCGATAATAGCATGATGTTAATAACTGGCGTGTAAAAAATATAACTGAATACAAACACGAAAACATGTTTCGTGTACGTATTAGCCATCATAACCACGTCGTATACACAATTTGATTTTATCTGATTTTATCGATGAAAGTTGAATTCGTTAGCTCAATGAGTCGAAACGTCTACACTATACGGCGTCGCCCACGCGACAAGTCTTCGTATGGACATAATATAATTATTCGAATCAATTGTGGTGAAAAGATAATGATTGGACTCGGTAGGTGTTTATCAAAACATTACAGCCGTCCGAGTTCGAGACAGTTACGATACGTAAACACTTACGACGTGAATAATAAAACCGATTAAAAATCGGTGTGGGAACAATACAGACACGGTACGATGTGTATTCATCGCCGGATATAACGGGGTTGCGGATGCGTCGAGGTCCTTAAATGCAGGTTCTAGATTTTCTTTGTGGCATTAAAATATGTTACATTATGATAATGATGTATAATATACATCAAAAACGTTTTATATTCAAGTATAATGAACAATGTTTCAATAAATATACTACGAATATTTGACAAAACAATGAAATTGTTCACTGAACATTTGTTTACTAACAGTAACATAATATTATTTAATATTTTAACACGTATTAAAGGAATATATAAGGTATGAGTAAATCTAATTGTATTATTTTCAAGAGCCTTTGATTAGTGGTTAGTTGCACCCTGGTCTCGGGAGACTTGAATTAAGGCTAACAAAGAACCAAATATACGCGTGTCCAAGAATTACCGAGATACAAATATGTATTACAGTAGGTACGATCTACTACTCGATTCACTCTTGGTTCGCGCGCTAATCAAATTATTCACATGTACCGGCGTGGACGGGGAAAACGAATCGAAACAACCACCGTGAACAACTATAACAATACGCATCATCACCAGCACCGCGGTAGTAGGTTTCTTTTCTCCCGGATTTTTCTTCTGCCCGCACTCAATCACGTAGCCAAAACACTGCACGCGCACACAACCCGATCGCGCATCTTCGTATTATCATGGTCGTCCGTCTTCCGAAACGCGGTACGTACCTACCTACGACCCGGTTTTCACTTTCGAATAACGTAGCCTTGCGTCTGCGGTTTCCGACCGCGGAAGGCCCCACGTATATGTATAACAAACGATACGTACTCGCTACTACATTCGTAGACATATTATTTATGATGTATTACGTATACGGTTGTCATCCGTCATCCCGGCAAGACAATTCGTTTCGGAAGAGACGATCTCGTTCTCTATGTTGATCTGGGTAACCTTGTATACTCGGACAATATATTTTTCCGTCTTCACGTGATGCGTGCAGCATATAATACGCGGGCGCGCGCGCGCACCGAGACAATAAATTATATTATATGATACATCAATAACGCTAAGTGAACCTATCAACGTCCTACGAAGGAAAAAAAGATCGAGAGAAAAAAAAAACGAAACAAAATAATAATAAACCGCTGCGAGATGGATTTTTTTTCACTATTATTTTCAGCCGTAGACTTACGATCGTTTTGAACGATTAAACACTCCGAGTTACCTATACGACACTACACTACCATACAATTATACGAGTATTACGCATATTATAGTGTTAGTATTATATTTATAGACGACGGGTGGTAGTGATCATGCGTTTATTGCGTACAGCACAAAACCATGGTATCGACCTCGAGACGCGAAGCGGAAACGTGGTGCGCCAAATTTGTTTTTTATACGCGCGCGCAAAGTATGTGTTTACGATTTGTATTTATTAAATTTAATACCGGGAAGTATATCGCGAAGGAATGTGAAAGTGAACGTAATATACGTCATGTCAAGTCCGCGGCGGAGCACCGCGCAAGTTGATACAACAAGCTCGCGCGTTTTCTAACTGATTGCAGTAGCAGAATTCGCGAAAAACAACAATATTTGCATAAGTACAGCAATAATAAATACTAAATTTGTAAACGCGACCATCATCAAGTTCACAAAGGGATAATCATGTATGGTCAGGGTAGATTTTGTATAACTAACATCCAACAATAATCATTTCCATTTAAATATTGGTATAAACTATAAAATGTACAATGTTTTACATACATCATCTATTTTTGCACTAAGGATTTTAAAACGATTAATCCTACGAACTCGGTTCAACGCTAGCTAAGCTCCAATGTGTTCAGTTATTATAATAATACGACATTGTCTTTATTACAGAGTTCTAATCGTACTGTAAAATAAAATTTTAAAAATTAATTTTCTTTTTTTGATTTTGTTTTCTAATCGAACGGGAGATTTTGAACTTTTATACTTATCGTTGGGTACGCCATTGAACGTACTATACTTTTATACATAAATAGTATATATATTTATATATATTCTTTAATGCCGAAAAAGTGCATATTATTAAAGATAGAGTAAAATCGATTATTAATAAAACGTGCAAATTATAACGAAAAAATGAATAGTTTAAGCAGCGTGTGAATACGATATTTTAATGATCTACCACGAGGATTAAAAAGCAAAGCATCACGTTGGATCACTTTTGGAGCAACTAAGTATTCATATATTATATACTTTATACCACATAATACTCACACGACCAGTTACATAAGTTCCACCTTTTCTACTGCAGCCATCGTTGTTTCATTACACCAAAAATTTTATTTTATAATAACATTTTTATTTATTAAGATCCTCCGTTTATATAATAATATATTATATATGATACCTATGGATAGTTTTCATTTTAACGTACGAAACATCTGCACGAATACACGACTCGACGGTTTTGTCAAATAACAATTATAGTTTTAATATTAATATTTATAAATCATAACGTGTTGAAGTTTATTTTAGTTTATCCTGTACACAGTTCTATGGCTTTTGTGAATGATAACCGACTGGACTACATAAGCCATATCGCCTATATTGGAAGAATCTTGGCTTGTAATGAATTAAAAAAAACACACATACACACACACACCTTTTCGTGTCACTGGACTCCAACCCATTTAGTGTCAAATATTTATCAAACCAAAACACGTGTGAATATATAGGTACATACATACTCGCCTCTATAACTGTTTGGTTTTTAGAATCAATTCTATATGCACAGCGCTGTTAAAAATCATGTCACTTCAGTATGAAAGACTAGAATTATACTCGACACGTATGTTCATACAATTTTATAGACCAATTGTTGATTTTGTACTTTTGGCTCGTATTTAGAAAGACAAAACATATTATATTTCTGAACGTAACAGTATAATTTATTACATTTTAAATATGTTAACTTTATGTTGAAAATATCCGTACTGCCCTCATTGGGAAACTATATTATTATCAACATTATTATAAAATGCAATAGTTTCATCAGAAAATAAAAGAG